TTATTTTTTAAAAATAAAATAACTTCCTGAAGGTCTAGCACATGGGAATCATGGGCCCTCTTCATGTCTGTATCTCCAGGGCCTAGCACAGTGCCTGGTGTATATATGTACAGGGGACTCAGTATATATGTTCATGAATGAGTGACTGCATGAATGAATGAATGGCTTTCCCTTACCACGTGATACTGGGCATCTTTCATTCCTCCATTAACAAGCCGTTGCCAATATTATGAAAGGCCTGTGGAAATCCCTCCCTTTAAGAAGTTATCAGCAACACCTGGGAATTGAGCAGCTGGACTGGAAGGCACCTGAAGACCAGGTGGCTGAGGAGTCAGATACCAACGGAGTTGGCAATGTCCAGTCCAAAGCTTTGCCCGTCCTGCAGTTCTGACCAACAGCCCCAGGCAGGCAGGGCCTGAAGGGCAAGGAAAGCTGGTTCTCGCCCAGTGAAGTGGAGTTATCACCCATGGCAGAGATGGCAAACACATACATGCGAGTCCCTTCCCTTGCCTGTAGCAGACATTGCTAATCAATCTCTGCACTGTCTCCCAAGAAGCCCAATCACAGCCCCAGAATCTTTCATAACAAGCCACTAACATCAACTAAAGTAGAAACCTACCTGCCATCTCTGACCAGGTTCCATTTGGGGGTTTGGCTGTACAGTCGGGACTCTAGGAGTGACTCTGGTGGGAGGTGCTCATGGACACACACACTCGGTCCGTGAGCCTCCCCATAACACATACAATTGGCCCAAAAGCCCAGAGAGTGAAGCCACCTCTCCCCTTCAGTGGTTGCCTCTATGTGAATTTTAACCAGAGGCCCATGTGGACAGAGGCCATATTGGTTCTATTAAACTGTGGTCTTCCTACCTCTAGGGCAGGACTTGGCTTATAAGAGGCACTTATTCATGTGACGCTGTTTCTCTGGCATTTACCAGGTGTTAGGCTCTCTCAGATGCTGGGGACACAATGGGGAATAACACAGGTGTAGCCACCTCTCTTTATGGAGTTCAAAGTCAAGAAAGGGAGAGAGACAACAATCAAGGAAACAGTAAACAAATAAATAAATGAGTAATTACAGGTGATGATAACAATTGGAAAATAAACAGAGTGATATGAAAGAGAAATGGGGTGAGGGCTGAAATTTACACTTAGCTAGGGGAAGGCCTACATGACCACAAGGAACCAGCCATGGAAGACAAGTGGTGTGAACCGGGTGGCGGGTACAGCATGTGCAAAGGCCCTGGGGTGGAAAAGAGTCTGGTGGGTCTGAGGAGCACAAGGATAGTGGAGAGGATTCTACGAGGCACATGCTCTTGCAGAGCCCAGGGAGGACCACGGACTGTCCTCTGGGGCGGCTGTGCTCTGCACTCACGTGCTCTCAATCAGCTGCTCCAGGTCCTGGACCTTGCGGCTCAGCTCCTCAGCCGGCGGGAAGCTCTTGCCCACCTTCATGAAGAGAGCCGCGATCTTGTTGCTACGCAGGAAGCCAGCCGCCCGCCGCCGCAGCCCATGCAGGACACAGGCTTCCACGGCCGCTGTGGGGACACAAGAGTCAGCAAGCCCTGCCCTGCCCATGCTCCCCGGCACCCAGCCCGGCTACAGCCTCAGTCATGCAGAGGCGCCTTGGAGAGCTGGGGGCTCCCAGAATCACAAATTTGTGACAGCCTCATAGGGAAAAGCATGTATGCTTCTCAACCTTCCACCCCGTTAAAAGGGAGCAAGAGAGCTTAGTGGTTAACCTACACTCGCTGCCCAAGGTCAGACTGCCTTTGTTCACATCTCTCCCAGTCCCTACCCTGCTGTGTGACTTGGGCAATTACTTGCCCTCCCTGAGCCTCAGTTTCCTCTGAGTAAAATGGGGACAGTGTCAACATTAACCCCATAAGGTTGCTGTACCGATGAGCTGGAAAAAATTCATGAAAAGTACTTAGCACACAGCTGGGTGCACAGTGAGTGCTTTATGAATGTTACCCATTCCTCCTGTTAATGGGAGAGGGGAGAATGGACAGCAGGACTGCTGCGCTCTGTCTGGGTTAAAGGATCATATCAGCATCATCACTATTCTGATTGCAGAACCAGTGATATTATGGATCCCGTTCAAGCTCGACCACAGCCAGGGAAGAAAGGAAAACCATCTCCATTTTTCAGATGTGGACACGTGAGGCTGGAGAGGTGAACCAACGTATCCAAGGCCCCCCAGCCATTAAGTGATGGAGCCAGGATTCAAACCCAGGTCTGGGCCAAAGGTGTGCTCACAACACTTGTGCCTCCACCAAGGACCTTTGAAGGGAGGAGGATTCAGTCGTCATCTTTCCATTTCTGTGTTTCCTCTGAAGGCCCACCCAGATCTGGGTTGTAGCCTGGGCT